GTCACTGTACAGTGGGTGGGGAGATCATCAAATACCTTGTCAGATGTGTTAGCTAAGCAAGGGGTAAATAGGGAAGAATTATTTTGGGCTCAGTTGTGATTCTTGTTTTTCTTTCCTAGTTTACTTRTAAGTTTCAAGGAGGGGCTGCAGCTCGCGCCTCTCACTGGGATGATGTATGAACTCACTCTAATTTGCTTCTGAATCAATAAACTTACTATTATTCATAAAAAAAAATGTATTTTTGGACAATAGAGATATTTTGGTCATTTTATCATGTCTATTAGGTCTAGCCTCTTAGCATTTCATGTATTGTGGTTATACGAACGGGGTTTATATGCTCGACTAGGTTGAATTTCATTGGGAGAGGGGTTGGGTTTGGTTCGGTTAGTGTACGTTAAGGGTAGAATCTTGTCACATGTCTTTTGTATTCTCCTTTTCCTATCTTTTTCTGAACCTTTTTATTTTATTATGAAATTGTTGATTACTATTCCTGATAAAAATCTTCTACTTCACTATTATATTGGTTCTTTATTGAGATGGTTCTGCTTCTTCTTGTCCAGGTCAGATTAAAGCGGCATAGATGGCACAAGAAAGTATTGAAAACTAGAGATCCAATCATTGTTTCAATTGGTTGGAGGCGTTACCAGACTACACCTATTTATGCTATTGAAGACAAGAATGGACGGCATCGTATGCTCAAATACACTCCTGAACATATGCACTGCCTTGCAATGTTTTGGGGTCCTCTGGCACCTCCTAACACTGGAATAGTAGCTGTCCAGAATGTTTCGAACAATCAAGTCAGTTTTCTACCTGAATGGCTTATTTGGTGTAATTATTAATCATCATCATTATTATCATCACTCTAAGCCTTGTCCCAACTATATGGGGTTGGCTACATGAATCCTGGTTTACCATTCCACTAGGTAAAAGAAAATCAGGATCCATGACCATGAGAGTTTGGCTAAAGTTTTTTGTTGTTATAATTGTTACCATTAGAAGAAAAGCACATGCAATACAATGACCTACAATTATAATTTAATTTCTACTATTAATATTTACTCATATTTTCCTGTTTTCATGTCTTTAAAGCTTGGTAAAAATGAGGAAAAGAGAAAAAAATGAATCTTCAAGAATTTCTCTTACAATGAAATATTTAAAACAATTTGATTTGATACTGTTGTAGATATTACTCTTATCATTCTTTGTTTCCCACACCTGACATTTCTATAGATAATGTAAATCTAATGCTGTTCAATCTAAAGGTTTTTGTAGTATACTCATTCCTTTTCCAAACTATCTATTCTAGGCATAGTTGTCAAGGCGACAAGGCGTCCTTTGAGGCTCGCCTTGCCTAATCGTTAACCAGTTTTGTACTATGTATTATAAAATACTTTTTTATTGTTTATTTTTTGACATTATAATTATAAAATAGGCACAATTAAACTAAAATATTCATTTCATGTGTTTATATACTAATTTCTTTTCATTATTTTCTTATTTGTTAGGGTTAATCATATAAACATTGCTAAATGCTGTATTGAATCCCCAAAGACTTTAAAAACCTGAACCAATAAGTAAGGAAGAACTTAAAATTTTGTCTAATCAACACATTTTCTACTATTACGCCCGCCTAGGCGACAAGGCATCCCCCTGTCGCCTAGCCTCGCCTTGGCACCTTGAAAACGATTCTGATAAGCCCAACATCAATATTTTATTATTTTGACATGAGGTGGGACATTAAAGTGCTTGAATAAATGCAGGAGAGGGGGAATAGATTCTTTATATGGTTGTTCTTGTTTAAGCCCAAGTGGTGTTGTGTGTTCCATGAGCATACATGCTATACTTTTGGTTTTGTGGGTATCAAATCCTTTTATGTTCTAATATTTTGATATTTAATGAGGGAACTAATGCATTGACTAGTGTGTCATAGAACCGAATGGTAAGTCTAGTGACTCCAGTCAAACTTCCATGTTGCTTGGTTGCTGTCTTAGGTGTGGACTTACCTCCGTTTCTTTCATTTCTAATTAAATTAGTGGAATAAATAAAATATGATTTTTGTTGTTTTTCTGCTATTGACAAAAATGGAGGGAACACTTAAGGTCAGGTTTTATAAGGCATTACTACAAGTCTACAACCACAGGTGATATCCAGCATACACTTTTTGTTTTGAAAACAATAAGGAAAAGTTTTGCCCAAATAGAAGAAGGTACAGAATTAAGTGGTAAGGGACCAGCCAAAAGAGGGATACTGACAACCTCAACCCAACCTTTCCCACCCACCCTATATGCCAAATACTCTAAGATAAGACAAAAATCCACTTTAAAAGCCCGATCATAATACCTCATTGTTCACTTTGGAATTCTCCTTTTTCCAAACACCCTAAGATAAGATAAAATCTACTTCAAGTACCCTATTATAATACCTCAATGTTATCTTCGGAATTCTCCTTTTTCCACATCAAAATCAACAACATCCGTGAGTTTTCTCCATAACCAATACCTCTCTACCAGAAACATATCCATACCCTATTGTGAATTTAAAGCATCAAATAACATCAAAATTCTTTTACACCCGGGAATAAAGAAACCCAAATTCCTAAGTTATAGTGTGCTACAGTTTTTGTTCAAATGATCATCTAGATTCTTAAAACTTCTTCTTTCTTTTAGCTTCAAGAACAGCTTTCTTGCAAAATCTTCACCTTCCATAAAGAATAATGACAAACTTTTACAAACTTAAACCTCTTTATCGGTTATCCTACTTATGCCCCCTTTTTTCCTGTCTGAACATATACATCAATTAAAAGATCACCATCAGCATCTTAAGCATCATTGTTTTCAAGGCGCCAAGGTGAGGCTAGGTGATGGGGGGGTGCCTTGTTGCCTAATCGCCTAGGTGATGGATTTTTTTTTTAAGTAAAAAATGTATATCCTAGGGTAGTTCCCTAGGTTCAATAACTATATTTCCTTGATAATTACCCATAGTTTTCATAAGAAAAGTATAAACTTTATGTTAAAATTATAGAAAATCATCATATTCATGAGAAGAAAAAGAAGAATGAAACGAAAATTCCAAAAATATAGGAGCTGAACCCCTATTTTTGTTATAGAAGATGTGGAAGAAGAAAATGTGTTGATTAGACAAAATTTTAAGTTCTTCCTTGTTGGTTCAGGTTTTGTAGTCTTTGAAGTGTCAATACAGAATTTAGCAATGTCTTTATTGATTAAACCCTAACAAATAAGAAAATAAAAGAAATTAGTATATAAACACACAAAATGAAGACTTTAGTTTATAATTTTAATCTCCAAGGGTGCCTTGTCGCTTAGGCATCGCCTCCAAATGTGGACATATTTTTTATCACCATACCCATATCTAAATCTTCCCAGTTCTCACAAAATGGTCAAATTCTATAGCTGGTTATGCCTACATTATCCATGCCTGACTTTTACTATTCTACAAATCACCCTATTATAATTCAGTTGCATGTCAAATTTACAAGAGTTTGGTCTTATTAGGTAGATCACTTGATAACCTATCTAATGACACCAGAATCATGTAATGTGGAAAAGCTTTACCCCTTAAAATGTAGGTTGATGGAAAAGTAATCTGATTGCATATTCACCTTATAAAAAAACTTTATTGTATGGCTAAAAAAACCAATTGATCCAAAAGTTTTGAAATTGCCATTTATAGATATACCAAAGTAAAGCTTGCCATGTCAGCAGTCCTCTCCTTGCTCCGTTACCCAAACCGAGCAATTCTAGAGGGGGTGCAAGATTCTCTCTAGAAGCACTAGGAGTTGCCACCTAACATGGCTTATCTCCTTTTTTCCTCTCCTTTTTATTAGAAAACTAACTATCCTCCACTTTCTCCTAAATCATCTCTACCTCTCCCTAATTCCTGTTTATCTCCTAAATTATCTCTAATTCCTGTTTATCCTCCCCCCCACTTTTCATCTATATCTATCTAAAGAAAAGTTTCTGTAGAGATGCAGATCAATAACTTTTGTTGTTAGTTATTTATTGTGGACCCCACTGCTGCTGTTAGTTAGTTTTATATTTGTTGTTAGGTTGTTGTTAAGATGCTGTTAGTAAAGTTAGTTTATTAGTTATTTTATTATTTGCCTATGTAAGCAGTAGGGACTTAAATGTAATTATCATCTTTTAATGTTATTATAAAGAATAGATGAGTGGGGCGGCAGATATAGCCAATCACTCTTTCTCTCATCTTTCTCACCTCTCTTCTTTCTTCCTATTTCTTCTTCTTCTCTCTTTGCCAGTTTTCTTTCTTTTAAATCTGCATCTAGAATTGGACTGATCACAGTCCAGAATTGTCTACTTGGTATCAGAGCAAGATCTAGGGCTTCTCATGTGAGTCTAATCCAGCCGACCACATGAGAATTTCCTAAGGCTGGAAGTTTAGAAAGATCATTCCTTTTGGCTGATTCTTGGAGGTTACCCGAAGTTTTTAGCAGCTGTCCAAGGGTTGGAGAGTGTTCTTGGTGATCAGGAAGAATCAGAGAAGGTTAAAGGGATCAAGATTGAAGGTGGCGATCAGAATTTTTTGGGTAAGTTTTCATCTCTTCTTGAGACCGACAACAGTTAGAGATAAGTTGGACTTTTCTAGAAGGGGGCAACTGAGCTTCCTTTATTTTCTCAGTTTTTTCTAGGGTTTATTCTTAACCCTACGACCAATTTTGATTGTGAGCCTTATTTGGAGGGTGCGGCTGAAAAACGGTTTGTTTCTATGGATGTGACCTTCTTTGAGGATGTTCCTTACTATCACAGAGTTTCTTCTCAGGGGGAGAGTAGTGAGATGGGTTGAGAGTGTTTCATAGAAGGTGGAGACAGGTTTATTTTGGTCCTCAATAGTCTAAGCCAGCTCCATTTTCCTCTGCGGCTCTAGATCCAAGTATCATAGCCCCTCACATCCTACTTCAGATGAGATGTCTCCTACTACTGAGCCTTCACCTCTTTTGGATGATCTTGATCTTCCAATTGCTATCTGGAAAGGGAAATACCGTTGCACTTCATTTACAACACATTGTATTTCTCAATATCTGACTTATGATCATTTGTCCCCATCCTATTTGCCACTCCTATTCCTAGGACGGTGCAAGAAGCCTTGTCAATACCAGAATGGAAGGTTGCCATGAAGGTAGAAATTGATGCTCTTCTCAAAAATAATACATGGGAATTGGTTGATCAGCCGAAAGGGAAGAAACCGGTTGGGTGTAGATGGGTGTTTACGGTGAAACGTAATGCTGATGGCTCTATTGAGAGGTATAAGGCCAGATTAGTTGCAAAAGGGTTTACACAGACTTATGGTATAGACTACTTGGAGACCTTTGCACCGGTAGTCAAGATGAACACTATCAGAGTGTTATTGTCCATTGCAGCAAATTTCTCTTGGCCATTGTTCCAAATGGATGTTAAAATTGCCTTTCTCAATGGTGATCTGCAAGAGGAGATTTACATGGAGTTGCCTCTCAGATTCTACAGTATCGAAGCAGGGAAGAAGATCTGTCGGTTGAATAAAGCCTTATATGGATTGAAATAGTCACCAAGCCCAATCAGATCACACCCTTTTCATTAAGAAGTCAGGCTCCTGCTTGACTTGCTGTATATGTGAATGATATTGTGGTGACAGGTAGTGATACCCATGAGATTGAATCCCTTAAACTACTTCACAAAGAATTTAAAGTCAAAGACTTGGGAGAATTACGTTATTTCTTGAGTATTGTAGTAGCTTGGTCCAAACATGGAATTTTTGTCTTTCAAAGGAAGTATGTTCTTGACCTTCTAGAGGAAACTGGAAAGCTAGGAGTTAAACCAGCTGACATACCAATTGAACAGAACCACAAGGTTAGAGCTGAAGGTGGAAAGCCTCTTGAAGACAAGGCTATGTTTCAGAGGTTGGTAGTGAAACTATTTATCTGTGCCTCACCCGACTAGACATTTCTTATGCAGTCAGTTTAGTTAGCCAGTACATGCATTCCCCCACAACCACTCACCTTCATAGTTGTCAAGGCGACGCCTAGGCGGGCGCCTAGGCGATGCCTAGGCGACTAGGTGGTTTTCAAACTTTGCCTCGTCCAGACGCCATGCAAAGTTTGTATCAGGCGCACGCCTAGGCAACTAGGCGGGCACTTAACTCCATGGCGCACGCCTTGACTAGATGTAAGACACATTAATACATCTTTTAATACATTAATCCTTTAATATTTTATATTGTTTTTTACTTTTCTTTTGCTGCAAATAGTTTTTATTGGTTAGTTTTTGTTATTACAATAGAACCTATCACACATTATCACTCTTTTTATTAGAAGAGTGCTGTCTTTTTAGGGTTTTATTTTCATGGCAGAACTAAATAGAAGAGGGAGAGCTGTCCGGTCAGGTATGTTTCAAACACAGTCCAACTCTAACTGTTGCTGCAATGCTGCATAATCAACAAGAAGTCTAAACAATATTGAATATGCCAGGTAGTTAAATGAATCATCTTCTTCTTAGTTTTCAGTCCGCCTATTCTTCCTCCTACCCTCTTCGTTTTCAGCCTTTTTTTCTTCCTTTCTGCTGGTTCTTCCTTTTTTTTTTGTCTTTTCCATACGTTCTTTGCATGGTATTTTTTTGGAATTAAACAAGGGCTCCGTCCCCTTCGTTTCTTCTTCATTTTTCTGCAAAATTTTCACCCTTTTACCTACACTTTTGTCCTCCTCGGTGGTAACCTAGAACAGGGGTTCCGCCCCCTTTTCTTCTTCATTTCTTAGAGTTTCTTCATCATTTTTTCCTCTTCACTGGTGATCTGAAACAGGGGCTCTGCCCCCTTCTTTTCATTTTCTTAGTGTTTCCCTAGTTTTTCTTGGTCTAAAACAGTAGTGGAGCCTCTTGTTCTTTTTCTTTTTTTTTTTGGTCTAAAACAAGGTTCTGCCTTCCTGTTTTCTCCTCAAGTTCTTTTTCTTTTCTTGGTCAAGGGGCTATGCCCTCTTACTATTTTTTGATTTCATCGCCTAGGCGAGGCCTAGGTGCCTGACTTGGTGCCTAGGCGCCCCTTGGTCGCCTAGCCTCGCCTTGGCGCCTTGAAAACCATGCTCACCTTCTTGCAGTTGAGAGGATCCTTGCTTACCTGAAGAGATGCCCAGGTAGGGGCATACTCTCCAAAAATAATGGTCACATGAAGATAGGAGTATACACTGATGTTGATTGGACAGGGTGTATTGATGACAGGAGGTCTACTTCTGTGTATTGTGCCTTTGTAGGGGGCAACCTTGTTTCTTGGAGTAAGAAACAAAGTGTTGTAGCTCGTTCCAGTGCTGAAGCAGAATACAGATCTATGGCACATGGTATGGCTGAAGTATTATGGTTGAAGTCCTTTTTTCAGGAACTGCGAATTACTTATGAGAAACCCTTGATGCTATTTTGTGATAATCAGGCTGCTATTAACATTGCTCATAATTCAGTACAGCATGATAGAACTAAACATATTGAGGTGGATCCATATATTGCCTCCGATATGCAGCTTGCTGATCTCTTCACCAATGCAGTCACAAAAGCTAATTTGGAAACAGATTTACGCAAGTTGGGAATGATAAACATCTATTCCCATCTTGAGGGGGAGTGTAGAGATGCAGAGCAATAAGTTTTGTTAGTTATTTATTGTGATCCCCACTGCTGCTGTTAGTTAGTTTTATATTTGTTGTTAGGCTGTTGTTAGGATGCTGTTAGCAAAGTTGGTTTATTAGTTATTTTGTTATTTGCCTATTAAGCTGTAGGGACTTAAATGCAATCATCATCTTTTAATGTTATTATAAATATATGAATGGGGCAGCAGATATAGCCAATCACTCTTACTCCCATCTTTCTCTCCTCTCTTCTTTCTTCCTCTTTCTTCTTCTTCTCTCTTCGCCAGTTTTCTTTCTTTTAAATCTGCATCAAGAATTGGACTGATCACAGTCAAAAAATTGTCTACTGTTTCAATTAAAAAAATTAACAATTATTTAAATATTATAATGAAATTATGTTAATAACCTTAAAATATTTATTAAAAACACAAAAAATAATTATAATAGGTTTAATAATATTCATATTATTAATATTTTTATATTTTTATGAAATTCATTGTTAAATTATGTAATAACAATATAAATTATGATTTTATGGATTATTCAACTTAATAACTAAATAGTATTTTAAAAACATAAATAAAGAATACTTAAATAGCAAAATATTACAAATGTAGGGGAACCATAATCAGCCAAGTCATTTGACAAGGCTGTATGTGGTTTGTTCTTCCTACATAGTATATTAGTATTCCAGATACCACTTTGTAGGGACTGCAATCAGCTCTTCTGACAAGGCTGTAGGCAGTTTATTCTTCCTACATAAACTTTATTTTGGACTGCAATCAGCCATTTCATTGACAAGGCTGTAGGCAATTTAATCTACCTACATATTATTCCATCTGTACATTATTTTTTATTTTTTTTGTAAAGGAGCAGACTTTTTTCGTCTTTGTAGAGGAGAAGGCGGAAATTTTTTTGTCCTATGGTGGAGAAGAGTAATAATGGTGCAAGAGAATCAGCACATTTTGGAGAGAAGTCCTCACCAACATATTATTCCATTTATGATTTAGAACTTGTTTCATGATCTGCACTGGTTCCTCTTCCCCCTGGTCTCTCCTTCAGTCCTTCCTACTTTTTTGCCCTCTCTTCCTCTCTTTTGAGTCTTTTTTTTTTTTCTTTTCCTTCTTTCTTTTCCACACCGCTCTGGGGTGTTACGTAACCAAGCACACTTCTATTAGAACACACGTGGCCTTCTACTTGAAGAAGGGTCACACCTGAATGCTGGTTAAAATGTGGTCTTTTATATACTTAAATAGAGACACTTATGTGGGTAAGTTGTTACAACAATTGGCTTCTAATATTGTATCCATTAAGGTGTCCTGATTATGCTTTAAAAACCAGGTCTGTTGAAATAAGCCCATTGTTTAAACAGAGGTTTCTTGATCCTTGTTTTTGCTGGTCGACCTGCTTTACTTGGTTGATGTGTCATAGAAGACAACCTGGTGTGTCCTTAGTCCTTACTAAACAGCCTCATCCTCAAAGAGGAATATGATCGTTAGAATTTAATTATCATGACCATTTTATGGTTCTATTTCTCAAAGCCATGTTAAAATTCTGTTAGCACTATGTGACCTTTGTTTGCTAAATGGTTAAGTGGAGTGCATTTGGTTTGCCAGGCAGCTTTTAGGATCACAGCAACTGCAGTTGTACTAGAGTTCAACCATGCAGCACAGATAGTGAAAAAGATTAAGCTGGTTGGTTACCCATGTAAGATCTTTAAGAAGACAGCATTTATCAAGGACATGTTTACATCAGATCTAGAAATTGCTAGGTTTGAAGGTGCAGCAGTTCGTACTGTAAGTGGGATCCGTGGACAAGTTAAGAAGGTAAAAGTGCTAAAAATCTGGCAACAACACATTTTCTTTTGCCCTGTCATTCTTTTAGGCTGCATTATCCAAGATATATGCTTCTTACTAAGTATAGATTTATATAATTCATCTGCATCCATATCAGGGGCCATTGCTTGGTGCAATGGTAAAATCTTGGGCAAAAAAGTGTGAAAATGCATGTTCAAGTCTGAGAGCAGACACTTTGTGCCAAAAATAATGCCAAAGGTTAGGTCTGTATCCAGTCCACTCCTCCTAAGATTCCAGATAGCTGGGACCAACATTGGTTGATGATGGGCTGATGGCATGTTTTACATGCATCTATATCTATATTATAGTTATTTTGTTGCAATACTCTATTAAATTGAGCAGAATTGCTGTATTTTCTGTGTGCATTTTGAGAAGTTTCTTTAACCACATAGGTGCAAATACATGATATAGATGTGGTAAGGACTTCTTGTGCCAAGAAAATGCAGGCCTTTTCTATTATTCATCTGGAAGTCCTTCGTCTTTTTGTTATTGTTACTACTAATAAAATGATATTCAATCTTATGATTATTGAGCAGGCTGCAAAAGATGAGCTTGGTAACAAACCCAAAAAGAAAGGAGGGCAGCCTAGAGAAGGGATTGCCAGATGCACGTTTGAAGACCGGATTCTTATGAGTGATATTGTTTTCTTGCGTGCATGGACTCAAGTAGAAGTTTCGCGTTTCTTCAATCCATTGACTACTGCCCTGCAGCCTCGTGACAAGACCTGGCAAGGCATGAAAACAGTTGCTGAGCTGAGAAGAGAACACAATCTTCCTATTCCTGTCAACAAGGACTCGCTCTACAAGGTTGGTAATTTTAGACCTGAAGATGTATTTGTTCCTGAGTATTTTTTTCCCTTTTCTCTGCAGTTTCACAATTTTCTTTTGTTTCCCTTGATTGACAGCCAATTGAAAGGAAGCCAAGGAAGTTCAATCCGTTGGTAATTCCAAAATCTCTGCGAGCATCTCTGCCTTTTGCTTCAAAGCCCAAGGACATACCTAGTCGAAAGCGTCCATCACTTGAAAGCCGAAGGGCTGTGGTAATGGAGCCTCATGAGTGCAAAGTACATGCTCTTGTCCAACACCTTCAGTTGATCAGAAATGAGAAGGTAATGTATCTCTGGAACTTATCTGGGAGCAACACCCAAACTGCATTTCTATAGGCTGTTGTTCTGTAACACAGATCCAAATTACTCAGTCTAGGTCATCATTGGATTAGAGTGTCAATTCACTGTGAGACTTGAGCTTTATTTATTTCTAGCCTTTCCAGGTTTTCTTTTTGACAGTTGCTTAGATCGCCTTTTACATTTTTAATTAGTGAATGTGTTGGTTATAATGTCATTACCCAATGTTGTTCGTGGCTATCATCATCTAAGCCTTGTTCCAACTATATGGGAGCAGTTACACGAGTCTTGTTTTGTCATTTTCAGTGCCATATCCATTGTTAAAATTAAAACATTTCTTGTATTATTTCCACCCAAGTCCTATGGGTGTTGACTTAAACCTTGCGCTGGTGATGTTGTCAAGGAAGATTTTACCATCGGACCACACATTTCAGATGGAAAAACCTGGCGAACCATCACTGTTCTTATCTCTTGTCAATATATTGATTCGTTTTGATAACAAAAATCTAATTAATTGGGCTTCTGATTCTGACTCTACTCCGATGGTGTGTGGCCTTTGGCAGATGAAAAAGAGAAAACTCAAGGAACAGGAGAGGAGGAAGGCACATGAAGCCGAGAAGGCCCAGAATGAGCAGCTGTCCAAGAAGAGGCAAAGAGAAGAGCGACGAGAGAGGTATCGGGAAGAAGCGAAGCTGAAGAAGAGAACCCGAAGAAGTCTGGAAGAATAATGCTGCTGCACATTCCGCTGATTAAGAAACACTGTTCTTTTGGGTTCAAGCCTTTGCATCTTTGCCCCTTCCCGGCCACAGGCAAATCAGGTGGTTGGTGTCATGCCCAACTCCACAATTCTCGCTGTTGTGCAGGGCCTACTCTCTGTAATCACAATCCATGCATGCTCGGGTTTGAGTTCTGATTCAAGCAGAAACGATACTTGGTTGCATTCCAACGGGAGATATATATCATGATTTATTTCATGGAGGATTAACTACTAACAAAGACTAATTTTATGCTACGAACCAACATGTTATATACAAACGTTGCCCGCCAGGATGATGATGTATTCATATATACATTGAAAAGTTTTGGTTTGATGTATTCATGATTCTAATCGTCAATATATAACTAGCATACTAGCACTGTAGCCAGGTGTTCGGCCAAGGGTTCAACTCAGTTCAGCGATACTCGCTGATGGGAATTGGTTCAGGTGTCAAGGCTTTAAACATGTTCATCTGTGGGAAGCAAGGTTCGATCAATGTGTCGAGTCGATGCTCTTGATATGAAGAGTTGTGTATCAGGAGTTTCGACCAGTAGGGCCCGTGCGATGTATGGGCTGTGTGTTAATATGGAATTCTATTATTTAACTTAAAATTAATTTTTGTTAATGTAATTACTTTATGTTTTTAAATTATTAATTAATCTTAAAGGTAATCAATGTTTAAATTTTATAAATGTAGATTTTACCAAAAAGAGAACCTTATTATCTTATAAAATTCAAATTAATAAAGTTATTTTTTAATGTTTTTGTACCATTCTATGCCTTTTTATGTTTCTGCGTCTGCTTTAACGAATTGAGGATATGATGTTGAACTTCCAAAAAGAAAGTTACAGCACCAATGGATAATCATGTGATTTAAATATCAATATGATACGAGGCATATCGATTCAAACCATGCGATATGAACCAATACGTGCGAGCTTGTTTATTAAAAATTAAAGACAATCGGGTGACTTGAACCTGAGTCTCCCTAAATTGTACATGTAACTCAAATAAATATCATATTTATGTTCAACAATTTTAATTAAAAATTGTAAAGAACAATATTCAAAATTGATATTTTATAAGCCAATGGAATAAATAATCTATTAAATCTACATTAAAATCAAAAGATAATTTTAATCTCTAGAAATTTATGCAAATAAAATATTAATAATAAAATAATTATTTTAATACTTAAAATTAATATATATATATATATATATTAAATTATTAATTAATTAATATTTTAATTTACATTACATTAAATAACAACATATTAAATATTTACAAAAATAAAAAATGTTTAGAGAATATTTGAGAGTATAATACTAAATAGAATCTTTCAACTTTACTAGTCAACATTTATACCAAAAAATGATTTTTAATTTTAGAAAAAACTATAGAAACAAAACTGTCAATAGTGTAATAATTATATTAGTGATTAAAAATTTGCATATTATATCTTAGAAATTTTAACAGATCTGATATATTTTAAATTGAAATTATATTTTTTTATAAATTATTAATTGATATTTTAGTTTACATTTGAGAATTTAATATTTAGTTGACTTTTTTGTTAATGTGAAAAATAAAAAATAGTAAAATAGAAATTATTTTATACAATAATTAAAATATAATATGTGCACATGTTATGTGTCTTGGGCTCTTGATTTATGCATTATCAATAAAATTGTGTGATATTTATGCATCTTGATGTATTAATTGTAATATATTTTATCATATATACCATTAAAATGTACATTTCCTTTGGATTTATACATTATTTGTGACTATTTGATTTTTAATTTAGTTTTATTATTATATTTATAGAATTTATATGTTTTTCTCCAACATATTTAAGCGTTTCCGTTTTTTTCATCCGTATCCATGCATTTTCAAAGCATATTCATATTCATATCTATATTCAAGTTGTCTAATACGATACTCAATACCGATACTTTGATCATTGCATGTGATTAGACCTTTTATTCTAAAAATATATCCTTAATTTTTTATTGTGAAGGCTTTTATGATTCTTTTCCAATTGAAATAATTGATTTAAGTTAGTTATTTTAATAATTGATATCTCAAATCTTTCAAATTTTCTAAGGCTCTGTTTAGCTCATAGTTGGAATTGGAATGGTCTAATCCCCCACTTATTTGGACCAATGTTTTCAAGTCGATGTTGAATCATTCCCCCATTTGGTAAAAAATGTTTGACTTGATAAAAAATCATCTAACTCAGGTAGTTCAACCATTGACTCATTCAACTTGGTCATGGGCTCACGAGTTACACATTCAATGTATGTGCAAACTTTTGGAGGCTATAAGTTTGCACTCTGATGTTTGATTGCAATTTTTAACATAAAAAAAAAATTGCAATGTATGAACAATTTTGGGCTTTAGATTGCAATTTTAGCTTTTTTTTTTACAAATAAAAAATTAAAAACTGAATAAAAAATATAAATTAAAAATAAAATAAAATTTATAATACATACATACATACATACATTGGTCTGCAACTGGATGGTTGACCTGGATGGCCGAACCATTGACCTACGACTTGGAGGCAAAAGCGGTTCGGTCTTAGACCTCTGGGTCAGTTTTTAAAACGTTAGCTTGGATTAGACATGAAATGGTATAGAAATTGAGTGGAATGGAATTCTCATTCGCAAGGGAGGAGGAGTAAATGGTCATTCCCTCATGGGAAATGCCATTTTACTAGGAATGGGAATTGGAGTTCATTTTCACCCAATTTTTAAATGAAGTGGGGATTGAATTTTCGGCCCTCCGATTAGGCCAAAGATCAAAGTTTAGGTTCTTTAATTTTTCGAGCTGGGCTCGGGCCCAATCTGTACAAGACTCTAAGTATGCCCACAAGCATTCGAAATCTGAATGAATCGCTGAAACATTACAATCCCTCCTAACATGTCAATCGTGAAAACTTTTGACATGCTCTCCTCGACCAAAAAAGCATATTACATATATCAATATTTTAAACCATGCAGCATAAAAAATGTGGTATTCTATGCTCTCCTCGAGCTAATAGAGCTGAATAAATGGTTTTATAACTCCACTTCACCAACTCTTGCACTCTTAACCGAGGAACTCATAGTTGGCATCCCTTAAGTCTGACTCATAAAATAAGTAATAGATCTGCGGCATGTCGAGTCGTGGATATTGGATTAAAAAAAAAAAAAAGCCGTCTTTGATACTCTCTTTTACTCATAACTCAATTTGACTTTCACTTTGATATTTCTGAGTTATTTAAGGTGAAAATTATGAGGTGGATGGATCTGTAATCTTTTTTATTGGAAACGGTTTACGATTTTTGCGACCAAGTTTTGGTCAAACCAAAATAATGTGACCCGACTTAACAGTCAGGCTTGTTAATGATATTTAAAAATCTGTGATCTCATTCAACATTCATCCCATTATTTTGAATTTAGATGATGTGTTTATGTAATCATATCAGATTTAAATTTGACTCAATCCAATCTAAATATGATTATATTATAATATTTATTGGTTTTAATATATAAATATTATATATTTATATTTAAAATTATAAAAAATGTAATTTTATATCTGATATTATATATGAACTTTGTATATATAATAAATTCAATATGTTATATTTACATTAATTTATTATACATAGAAGTTGAAAAGTAATTAACTTTTAATTTTTTAATACAAAAATTAAAACATAATTCGATTCAAACCTATTAGGATTCGAATTCAAATCCAAAGCCTTCAAAACTAATCAGATTCAGATGTATGTTTTTAAATAGAATCAAATTCATATTGTTGAACTAGATTCGATTATGATTACAACCCAATTATCAACCTACAACCTATTCGCTTTTCGCTTCGCCAGCTTCTCAAGCAGAATTGTGATTTGATCCTCACAGAGCGCTCCTCACACCGATTCGCAGTTATGTTCCCAATGTGCAATTAAAGTGTGTTGTAAGGTCGGTTTGAGGTGCGCTCTGTGAGGAGCAAATGCGGACTCGCCCGAGTGGCCCAACCCAACAGTTATGATTTGGCTTAGAGCCTTAGATAGTCTTAGTCAAAATTAACCAACTCAACCATAGCCAGTAGTTAGCACTAAATTGGACCTGTCACATGCCATCATACGGTCCTAATTCTTTTTGACAATATACACCAGTATCACACTGCCACTCGATCTTTTTGGGTAAATTACAAAGAATGGGGTTAGTGGCAAAGACCCCGTACTTTAATTTGTGACAAATATCCCCCTAAATTTTAGATGTTAGAAAAAAGACAATAGTAAATGTCTAGAGTTTTTAAGCCTCTCTAGACTCTAGAGTTCTCAAAATTCATGGCTCAACATGGGAACATTTCAGATTAGTACCCTACAGTCTATACTGTAGGGGTAGTCTCAGTTTAGTAACCAAAATTCAAAATGTGTCACTTAGTACCTAAACTGTCAGTTTAGTTCAAAATCATTAACTGACTTTGAGTGACTTATAAAATGACAAAAATGCCCTTCAAGTGTCATTTAATTTTATTTATCTACCACTCTCACATAAAACCATTGTAAAAAGGTTCCACCGGAGGATAATTGCTCACCTCTCTCACAATGACCTCCACTTGAATGCCATGGTTCTCAAGCCAAAGGACATTGAGGGACGCGACAAAGGTCATATGTGTTTTCTCCCTGTAAGTCAGTCAAGGTGTTTCCGATTTGAACGTCAGTCCCCATTATGGGTGAATAAAACATAATGGACTGAATTAATCTGTAATCCGAAACATGCAGATCTGAACCAATATATTCAACTCTGGTAATCACCTTTCATTGGCCAACTTAATTAAACAAAAGAAATCAGTTTAGTATATACCTCCAGATGCCATAACCACTGTAGTTGTTGTCCTCGTAATTCGATGTGTATTCAATTCAGCCTTTGACCCTCCAAACAAAGTCCAAATGACTGCATGTTGTCTTCTTATTCAAACCAATGTAGTCGTATTCAACGGTAGTCTCTCACCAATACGATGATCAGTGTTGCGAGGACAGAACTATTCCCTTGAGCCAGAAAACCAATCTCTCTCCATGTTCTATCTATCTCAGTCAATCAGTGCTGATAGGAAGCATTCTAATGGAGCTTGAAAAAGAGATTTCATACCACACGCCCAAGGAAGAGGGGTCCTCTCTATTTTTGTCTTACTAGCCAGCCTTCCTATCAAAGAGTTTTCCTAATTAGGGAGATTTTAATTCCCTTAATTTTCTCCAATTAACAACCCCCATTATTTTCAAATTAATGGAGCATTTCAAATTTGAATTGGATTTTCAAATCCCTTAATTAAGGGGCTATATTAGGAAGATGTTCAAGTCCTAACACCCACACAATGAGCTCTAA